AGACTTTGCGTTGCACTTTTTCACTTGCCCAGTTGGACCCCGTTTCTCCCTCCTTCTTCAGGCAGCAGCCTTGGGGGGATCACAGTGGATCCTGCATTGCTACGTACAGGACAGAAGGGCCCCCCAAAAAGTCTCTCTTCCCCAGAGATCCCCCTGGTAGATCCCTTTGTCCTTGCCTCCCACGGATCCCCTGCTGGAAGCTGGACATTTCCTGCAGCCCCCTGAAAGAGGTCCCTGCAGGTGGGGAGAGAGACAGAGACAGAGAGAGAGAGGGGGGGGGCAAAAGAGATGTAATACAGGGGGGGGCTCACCTGTCAGGTGCCCACAGGTGGGAGAGCCGCACTCACCTGTCCCTCGGCCTCCACAGGTAGCAAGTCTGCTCAGAGGCAACTCCAGGCTTTCCTCCTGCGAGAGGAACGGAGGCATTTATAGGCAAGGCAAGTGGAGGGGGGAGGTTTCTGTTGGGGGGGGCAATGAGAGAAATTGCTTTGCGTGAGAAGAGACTTTTGGTCTAACTACCAGGATGTGGCTTGTTTGCACATAAGAATTTTAATCTCACAGGATTTGCGTTCTGCCAGGTCACCTCTTAGAGACAGAATCCTGCAATTTGAGGTCATCCAGTCCAGCCCCAACTCAGTGCTGCAATCCAAAGAACCCCGGATACGTGGCTGATTGGCCCCCACCCCTTTGGGTATCCAGACAAGGGGATCCCTCTCTCACTTCCTCTGGGTCTGGGGGCTGCTGTTGACAGGTTGACTTTCCCTTTTCCTGAGCGAGGTTTTTCTCACTTCAGAACCTGCAGGAATGAACAGCTCCCAGCATCCTCCTTAAGGGAGGGCATGGCTGCGTTCCCACAATACGCCCGGACCTCGACCCAGGTAAAGAGAAGGGAATGGCTCAGTGGCTGAACTCTTTCAAAGCCTTCCTAGGAGCAGCTTATTTTGTTAATTTATGTCTTCCCTTTTTGAAGCGTCCCATGTCTGAAGCTGGCCCACCCTCTGCAGGGAGCAGACACAGCAGCCCAACCATCCTCCCTGAAGCCCCCCTGTCAGAGCCCCCAAGACGGAGAGCCCAGCGCCTTCAGGGGGAGAGGCTTCCACTCTGCTCCCTGGGAGTTCCCCCACAATTAACATCTCTATTTTCCAAGAATTGTTCCTAGCTGCATCCATGATTCCTGGACTTGGTTGCCAGAAGACAAAGGATGTCATGAAACCTTCCTGATGCTGCCGTCTCGTGCCCGATTCAACTCCATGGACACGGTTTCTTCAGGATTTGGGGCCACCTAAAAAGGATCTCCCAAAGGCCCAGAGCAGCAGTTTAGCTGGCGGTTGGCGAGCTCAGTGTTAACAATTAAACAAGAGAGGCCCATGAAGCATCGACAACCAGTGCCAGGAGCCCAAAGTTGGTTTTTTCCCTTTCAAAGAAAAAAGAAAGAAGCCCGGAAGGAGAGGAGAAGGGACAAGGAAGCGAAGACTTTAAGCAATGAAACGGTGGGTTGGTTGGGTCACCAAATGTCATTTGCGGGAATTAACATGTCAAAAGTTTGCCCATCCCATGTTGCAAAATGCTTTACTTAAAGCCACGTTATACTTATGCACGCACATGTGCACGTGTGCACAAACACACACACACACACAATCCTAGTCCCGAGGTGCTTGTGATTGGCCCAAAGTCACCCAACTGGCGTTCCTACCTAAGGGAGAAGTAGAACTCTCCGCCTCCCGGTGATTGGCCCAAAGTCACCCAGTTGGCGTTCACACCTGAGACGGGACTACAATTCACTGACTCCTGCTTTCCACCCTTGTGCCTTAACCACTAGGCCGAACTGCCTCTCAAAGATGGCCCACTTCCCCTGTAGAGGTTGTCTTCATGAAGCCCTCGAGATCTCAAATGCTACGAAACTACAGGGAAGGGAGAACAAGGCTTACACAAGTGTTCTCCTCACAAATTGTTCTCTTGATTCCAACACTCATTTCCTCACC